ATGTGTGAGACACATGGAAGGAAGCCCAGCTGTGCAGGAGAGGTCATCCTATATCAGCCAGGTCCTAGGGAGTCTTCAACCACCTAATTTAAAATGCATGAGCGGCTCAGTGTGATGACTCACACCCGTAATCCTAGCACTTTGGGAGGCTGAGGCAGGTGGATCACCTGAGGTCAGGAGTTTGAGACCATCCTGGCCAACATGGCAAAACCCCATCACTATTAAAAATTCAAAAATTGGCCAGGTGTGGTGGCAGGTGCCTGTAATCCCAGCTACTCAGGAGGCTGAGGCAGGTGAATTGCTTGAACCTGGGAGAAGGAGGTTGCAGTGAGCCAAGATTGTGCCATTGCACTCCAATCTGGTGACAGGAGCAAAACTCCACCTCAAAAATAAATAAATAAATAAAAAGATGTGTGAGCAAGCACAGTCAGCAGAACTGCTCAGTTGACACTGTGGGAGAAGTTATGAATGTATTGTAATTGCCCACATGGGTTCTTACTGCCTGCTGCCCAGAAAAGCCAAACACTGAGAACAGCAGGAATTGCAGTAGAGAAAGTTTAATAATCACATGGCCAAACCAAGCTGAAAGATGGAAGATTTTTCTCAAATTTGCTTCGCTGGGAATTTGGAATCTAGGAATTTGTAAGGATAGTTTGGTGGGCAGGGGGCTAGGGAATGGGAAATGCTGATTGGTTGGGTTGGGAATGAAATCATAGGGGGTCAAAGCTGTCTTCTTGTGCTGAGTCAGTTGCTATGGGGGTCAGAGACCTGCTGTGTCAGTTTATTGGTAAGGATTACCGGTCTGGGTGGTGTCAGCTGGTCCATCAGAATGCAGGGTCTGAAAATACCTCAAGCACTAGTCCTCGGAGTTACAATAGTAATGTTATCTATGGGATTAATTGAGAAAGTTACAAACCTTGTACCTCCTGCATGACTCCCAGACCATAATTCTAACCTTGCACTCAATTTTTCTTACAAACGCAGTTTCAGGTCTGGGCAACATGACAAAACCTTGTCCCTACAAAATATACAAATATTAGCCAGGTGTGGTGGCACACATCTGTGGTCCCAGCTACTGGGGAGGCTGAGGCAGGAGGATTACTTGAGCCTCAGAGGTGGAGGCTGCAGTCAGCTGAGATTATGCCACTGAAACTGCAGCCTGAGTGACAGAGCGAGACCCTGTCTCAAATACAACAGCTGAGCACGGTGGCTCACACCTGTAATCCCAGCACTTTGGGAGGCTTTCAGTTCAAATCACCTGAACTCAGGAGTTTGAGACCACCCTGGGCAACATGGTGAAACCCTGTCTCTACTAAAATACAAAAACTTAACCATGCATGGTAGTGGGCACCTGTCATCCCAGCTACTTGGGAGGCTGAGGCAGGGAGAATTGATTGAACCTGGAAGACGGAGATTGCAGTGAGCCCAGATTGCACCATTGCACTTCAGCCTGGGCTACAGAGTGAGACTCCATTTCAAACAACAAAACAAACAAAATCAAAGGCGGTTTCAGTCCATGACCAAGGAGGGGGTTAGTTTTGGGAAATGGAAATGACTGTTACCATCTTTGTTTAAAGTTAAACTATATTTAGCCAGGCAAGGTGGCTCACACCTGCAATCCCAGCACTTTGGGAGGCCAAGGTTGATGGATTACCTGATGTCAGGAGTTCAAGACCAGCCTGACCAACATGGTGAAACCTCATCTCTACTAAAAACACAAAAAAATCAGCTCCTCATGGTGGTGTATGCCTGTAGTTCCAGCTACTGGGAGGCTGAGGCAGGAGAATTGCTTGAACCTGGGAGGTGGAGGTTGCAGTGAGCCAAGATCATGCCATTGCACTCCAGCCTGGGCAACATGAGCAAAACTCCATCTCAAAAAAAAAAAAAAGGAAAAAGTTGAGGGGGCATGGTGGTGCACATCTGTAGTCCCAGCTACTCAGGAGGTTGAGGTAGGAGGATCACTTGAACACAGTTCAAGGCTTCAGTGAGCTATGATCACACTACTGCACTCCAGCTTGGGTGGCAAAGAGACCTATAAAGATCTATAGAGATCTCTATAAAAATAAAAAGTAAAGCTGGCCTGGCATGGTGACTCCCGCCTGTCATCCCAGCACTTTGGGAGGCTGAGGCAGGGCAGATTACAAGGTCAAGAGATGGAGACCATCCTGGCCAACATGGTGAAACTCCGTCTCTACTAAAAATACAAAAATTAGCTGGGCATGGTGGCATGTGCTTGTAATCCCAGCTACTCAGGAGACTGAGGCAGGAGAATTGCCTGAACCCAGGAGGCGGAGGGTGCAGTGAGCCGAGATTGTGCCACTGCACTCCATCCTGGCAACAAGAGAAAGACTCCATCTCAAAAATAAACAAACAAATAAAAAGTAAACCTAAACTATAAATAAAATTTGTTCCATAGTTTGCTCAGCCTATAGCCAGTAACGAATAAAGACAGCTTGTGAGGTGAGAATCAATCTGGAGTCAGCCATGTCACATTTCTCTCACTGTCATAATTTTTTCAAAGGTGGTTTCACCTTTAAGGCTTGGAATTGTTTGTTATGCACAATAGCTGACAGATACAGAAACTGGAAGCAGAAGTGGATACTACTATAACAAAAACCTAACATATGAGGCATTGACTTTGGAACTGGGAGGCAGAGGAGACTGGAAAATGGTGAGGAAAGTATTAGGGAAGGTTGAAGAAATAGCAACTGTGTTGCTATTTTGAAATGAAAAAAAATAATATGCTATTTTGAAATGAAATAAAATAATAACTGTCACCCAAATAACTTGGGAGATAGGAAATGTACCAAATGAACTTGTAGATTTGAGCAAAGAAATCTCCAGCCAGAATGTTGAAAGTGTCAGTTGGCTTTTACTAACTGTGTCTGATAAAGTTTTCTTTTCTTTTGAGATGGAGTTTTGTTTTTATTGCCCAGGCTGGAGTACAATGGCGAGATCTTGGCTCATCGCAACCTCTGCCTCCCAGGTTCAAGTCATTCTCCTGCCTCAGCCTCCCGAGAAGCTGGGATTACAGGCATGTGCCACCATGTCCGGCTAATTTTTGTATTTTTAGTAGAGACAGGGTTTCACCATGTTGGTTAGGCTGGTCTCGAACTTCTGACCTCGTGATCTGCCTGCCTTGGCCTCCCAAAGTGCTGGAATTACAGGCGGAAGCCTCTGTGCCAGGCTGATAAAGTTTTCTAAGAAGCTGGATGCATGGCTCACACCTGTAATCCCAATACTTATGGAGGCCAAGGCAGGAGGATCCTTTGAGGCTAGAAGTTTGAGACTAGCCTGGCCCATATAGAGAGATCTCATCTCTACAAAACGATTTAAAAATTAGCCAGGCATGGCAGGACATGGTGGCTCATGCCTGTAATCCCAGCACTTTTGGAGGCCAAGGTAGGCAGATCACCTGAGGTCAGGAGTTTGAGACCAGCCTGGCCAATATGGTGAAACCTCATCTCTACTAAAAATACAAAAATTAGCTGGGCATGGTGGTGGGCTCCTGTAATCCCAGCTACTCGGGAGGCTGAGGCAGGAAAATCATTTGAACCTGGGAGGCGGAGGTTGCAGAGAGCTGAGATTGTGCCACTGCACTCCAGCCTGGGTGACAAAGTGAGGCTTCATCTCAAAAAAAAAACAACAAAATTAGCTGGGTGTGATGGCAAACACCTGTAATCTTGGGAGGCTGAGGCAGGAGAATTGCTTGAACCCAGAAGGCAGAGGTTGCAGTGAGCCAAGATCATGCCACTGCACTCCAGCCAGGGGGAAAAAGCAAGACTCTGTCTCAAAAACAAAACAAAAAAATGTGCCATGCCTAGACCTGATATCGATCACAAGAAACTGGACTTTCAGCCTAATGGCAGAATTGGATGAGTCTTTTAGGGATCCTGCAGTAGGGAATGAATATATTTTGTGTATGGAGAGAACATAAGTAACTGTATAGAGAGGCAAGATGAGGTGGTTCACGCCTGTAATCCCAGCACTTTGCAGGACAGAGGCAGGAGGATAGCTTGAGGTCAGGAGTTTGAGACTAGCCTGGGCAACATTTTGTAGAGACCTTGTCTTTAAAAAGATTTAAATAAAAAATTAGCTGGGCATGGTAGCACGCATTTGTGGTCCTAGCTACTCAGGAGGCTGAGGTGGAAGGATCACTTGAACAGGAGTTTGAGGCTGCAGTGAGCTGTGATACTGCCCTAGCACTCTAGCTTGGGCAACAGAGTGAGACCCTGTCTTGGGGGGGGAAAAAAAAACCTGTGGACAGAGGGCAGACTGTGGTAAATTGATTGCATCAATGGTTCCAAGTCTTCACCCCTCCCTGTGTCCACACCCTTTGCCCTGTGAATTTGCAATTTCTTCCGTAACAGAAGCAGAGTCTATTTCCCCACCCTCCTGAAGAATCTGAGTTTGGCCATGTGACTTGCTTTAGCCATTATGATGTTAGCTGACAAACACAAGTAGAGGTTTGAAAAATGGCCTGTGTGTTTCTGCTTCTTCTCTTGCTTCTCTGTGATCACCGTGGGAACACACCCAGAACATTCCCAGGCTGACCTGCTGAAGGGATGTGAATGACACATGGAAGGAAGCTGACTTGTTCCAGCTGAGGTTATCCTAGGCAAGGCAGCCCTCAGCTGACCTGCCAGCTGTCTACAAACCTTTTTTTTCAAACACTGTCTTTTTTTTTCTTTTTCTTGAAACATGGTCTCATTCCATCACCCAGGCTGGAGTGCAGTGGCTCGATCACAACTCACTACAGCCTCCATCTCCCATGCTCACTCGAGTGAGCCTTCCACTCAGCCTCCCAAGTAGCTGGGATTAGGAGCCACTACCTTGCACAGCTAAACCTCAATTTCTCTATCTGCTAAATGGGCATACTCCAAAAACTTGTGAAAATTAAATAAGATAAAATAGACAAAGAGTATAATGTAGTAGCAGGCACACATTGTAAAAACTCAACAAAGTCCTAACTATTTTCTTTTTCTTTTCTTTTGAAACAGGGTCTCGCTCTGTCACCCAGACTGGAGTGCAGTGGTGCGATCATGACTCACTTCAATCTCTACTTCCTGGGAACAAGCAATCCTCCCACCCCAGCCTCTTGAGTAGCTGGGACCTCAGACACACCCTGCTAATTTCTGTATTTTTTTAAGAGACAGGGTCTCCCTATGTTGCCCAGTGTGGTTTGGAACTTCTGGGCTCAAGCCATCCACCCACCTCAGCCTCCCAAAGTGCTGAGATTATGGGTGTGAGCCACCACGTCCAGCCTATTTAATTTTTTTTTTTTTTGAGACAGGGTCTCCCTATGTTGCCCAGTCTGGTCTCAGGTGATCCACCCACCACAGCCTCCCAAATTGCTGGAATTACAGGCATCAGCCACAGTGCTTGGCCCTATTTTCCTTTTCTTTTTGAGACAGGATCTTACTCTGTCACCCAAGCTGGAGTGCAGTGGTGTGATCTCGGCTCACTGCAACCTCCACCGCCTGGATTCAAGTGATTCTCCTGCTTCAGCCTCCTGAGTAGCTGGAATTACAGGCATCCACTACCACACCCGGCTAATTTTTTGTATTTTTAGTAGAGACACAGTTGTCACCGAGTTAGCCAGGATGATCTCTATTTTCTGACCTCAAGAACTGCCCGCCTCCGCCTCCCAAAGTGCTGGGATTACCGGCCTGAGCCACCACGCCTGGTGGCATTATTTTCCATTTTAAGAATTAAGCAACACTTCATTCCATAAAATAGAATAAATGTTCCAACGAGCTCAGCAGAAGAGGATGGCTTTTGTGGTTTTTTTGTTGGTTTTTTTTTTTGAGACACAGTCTCACTCTGCGGCCCAGGCTGGAATGCAGTGGGGTGATCTCTGCTCACTGAAACCTCTATCTCGCAGGTTCAAGCTATTCTGCCTCCGCCTCCCAAGCAGCTGGGATTACAGGCCCGTGCCACCACATCAAGCTAATTTTTGTATTTTTAGTAGAGATGGGGTTTTACTATGTTGGGCAGGCTGGTCTGGAACTCCTGATCTCAGGGGATCCACTTACCTTGGCCTCCCAAAGCTCTAGGATTACAGGTGTCAGCTACTACACCTGGCCTGAGGTTGGCTTTATAAACAAAGAGCTGAAGAAAACAAATAAGGAAGAGTTTATTACTTACTTTTCAAAGATTTTTCTTTTTCTTTTTCTTAAAGACAGGGTCTTGCTTTGTTGCCCAGGCTGGTCTCAAACTCCTGAGCTTAATCAGTCCTTCCACCTCAGCCTCCCAAAGTGCCGGGATTACAGGTGTGAGCCACCACACCCAGGCTTCAAAGTTATTTTTTTTTCTTGTAAGGTGGGGAAAGGGAAGCAAAACAATTGAAAAATAACTGATTAGTTAACATCAAGTTTCCTCAGTTTCTTTTCACTTTCATTCTTTCTTTCTTTCTTTTTTTAGGTACTGTGTCATGCAATGTTGGCCAGGTTGGAGGGCAGTGGCTATTCACGGGTGCGATCCCACTACCGATCAGCACAGGAGTTTTGACCTGCTCTGTTTCTGACCTGGGCTGGTTCACCCCTCTTTAGGTAACCTGGTGGTCCCCCGCTCCTGGAGGTCACCATATTGAAGCCCAAGTTACTGTGAATACCCAACTGGCATAGCACAGTACAGCCCAGAACTCCTGGGCTCAAGCGATCCTTCCACCTCAGCCTCCTGAATAGCTGGGACTACAGGCATGTGCCATCATGCCTAGCTCTTCAGTTTCTTCAATCCTTTTTTTTGTTTCAGGATTAAAACAGAGAGAACTTCATTATCATTCTATTAAAGATTTATTTATTTATTTATTTATTATTTTTAATAAGAGACGGGGTTTCACTATGTTGGCCAGGCTGGTCTCAAACTCCTGACCTCATGATCCATCTGCCTCGGCCTCCCAAAGTCGATTAAAGATTTAAACTGATATTTTTGAGAAATTGGCTGTTCTCTCTCTCCTTATTTTTCAGAAGGTCGGATAACAACTTAGTTTAGCATGGGTGACTCCATATTGAGTTTTAGTTGTTGTCTGTTTTGACCTAGTGCAGTCCTATCCCCTCCCTTCCTCCCTCCCTCCCTTTCCTTTCTTCCCTCCCTGTCTTCATTTGTCTCACTCTATCGCCCAGGCTGGAATGCAGTGGCTCACTGCAGCCTAGAACTCCTGGGCTCAAGCTATCCTTCTGCCTCAGTCCTAGCTGGGATCACAGGGGTGCGCCACCTTGTTTGGCTAATTTCTTTCTTTCTTTTTTTTTTTTTTTTTTTGTAGATAGGGGGTCTCACTGTGGTGCCTAGGCTGGTGGCTTTCTGTAATTTTTATTTAATAAATGAAATGCTCAGCCGGGCACGGTGGCTCAAGCCTGTAATCCAAGCGCTTTGGAAGGCCGAGATGGGCAGATCAGCAGGTGAGGAGTTTGAGACCAGCCTGACAGGGTGAAACCTCATCTCTACTAAAAATTCAAAAATTAGCTGGTCATGGTGGCATACGCCTGTAATTCCAGCTACTCAGGAGGCTGAGGAAGGAGAATTGCTTGAACCTGGGAGGCAGAGGTTGCAGTGAGCTGAGATCACGCGGCTGTACTCTAGCCTGGGTGACAGAGCAAGACTCCGTCTCAAGAAAACAAAACAAAATAAACAGATAAATGAAAGGCTCTTTCCAACTCAACAAGGCCATTAACTGGCCAGAGTGGATCAGATCCCAAGGGCCACTGGTGGTGAGAAGGGGAGAGACTGACCCAGAGGGAAAATTAGCATTGGATGTTCAGGAATAGGAAAGCACATTGAAACAGAAAGGAGATGAGTGGGAGGAGACAGTCCGGGTGATAAGCAGATCCTGTAAAATGCCCTGTGGGTTGAGAAGAGGGGAGAGGTGGAAGGAGCTTGGGAGATCCCAGAGTGGTGTCTGGACACCTGTCTGTAGCAAAGGCAGGAGTGAGAAAAACGTCTAGAAAGCCATTGAGATGGCCTTAAGTGCCGGCCTGAACAAGTTGAGCTTGTTCAAGGAAATGATCAGTGTCCCCTCTTCTGAAAACCTCCCTGGGTCCCTCCAGACCAGGCCAACTTGGTACATCTTTGCTGGACACCAAATTCCCTGAGTCCCACTCAGATTACTGTCTGATGCCTCCTCCTCCATGGCTATGTAAGCTCCCTGGGGGGAGGCCTTTCAACACTCCTGCGCTCCCACCAGAGATGGGCAAGGAGGTGGTGAATGTAATGAATATCATGCACCTCATGGATTTTCAGTGGGGATCAAGACAATGTTTTGTGAAGCCAGTTTGGTGGTGGTGTGCTGGGAATAATTTGAGCTGGGTGGGACCTGAGGTGCAGGCATTACTAAAAAAAATCTAGAAGTTGAGAATATACCCCACGGCCTTGGTGGGAATGACAGATGGGGAGCTGAGGTGTGACCGTCTCTACAGGAGCGGCCTCGGACTCAGGCTGGCCATGAGCAGAGGGAGGCACAGTGGCTTTGCAGGACCTAGTGCCAAGGTGATGGTACTAGGATGTGGGGTTTATGGGAGGTGATAGGTTTATGTGGGGTTTATGTGAGGAGCAAGAAAGAGAAGTTCATGTGAGGCAGGGACCTGCATCCTCCTTGTCCAATCCTGTGTGCTCCCAGCTTTACCCTCTACAAGTTACTTTTCCCAGTGGACAGCACCCTTCTGGGTCTCTCCATCAGGCACCTGGGTTTGAGACAAATTCCACAGCATGACACAGCCTGGGAATAGGCTTTATTGGGGGAAAAAACCCAAATAATCAGCAAGAGAACCGGCATGGAGAAGATGGCCGACCACTAACAGCTCAGGATTGTAGCTCCCAGTGAAAGCTCAGAGAACGAGACGACGCCACATCATTAGACGAATTTTCGTCACTCACCGATTAGCCGATTCCCAGTGGAGGAGCCCCACGGGTCGCCAGCGCGATTCTTGTGGCTGCCGCAGCAGTTTTGCCGGCGTCTCGGCGCAGCAGCTCTTCACGCAGAGCCAACGGGACTGCTTCCCCTACTGACCGGAGTTTGGAGCTCCGGGAAGTCAGAGCCGCTTGTTGCGGACTCAAGAGGGAAGCCAGACCAGAGATTCCCGGGCAGAAGAGCACCATCAGTCTTATCGCTGCTATTTAGGCTGCCACAGTGGGTTGCTCGGATCCCAGCACTGGGAATCAGTAAGTCGGACGTCGACTCAGAAAACTAATTAGAAAGGCGGTTCATTTACAATGAAGGGAAAAAAACAGCCTAAGAAGGCCGAGTATACTCAAAATCAGAACCCATCAGCAACGGAACAAGCCCTGATGGAAAAGGACTCATCAGCAACCGAACAAGCCCTGATGGAAGAGGACTCATCAGTAACGGAACAAGCCCTGATGGAAAAGGACTGTGTTCCATTATCTGAAGTAGGCTTTAAAAGGTGGATGATAAGAAACTTCTGGGAGTTAAAGGAACTCGTTCTAACCCAATGTAAAGAAACTAAGAACTTGGAAAAAAGATTAGATGAAATGTTGAAAAGAATAGACAATATAGAGAGGAATACAAATGAACTTATGGAGTTGAAAAATACAACACGAGAACTCAGTGAAATATGTACAAGCTTAAACAGCCGAATGGATCAAGCAGAAGAAAGGGTATCAGAGGTAGAAGACCAACTTAATGAAACAAAACGACAAGACAAGAATAGAGAAAAAAGGATAAAAAAGAATGAGCAAAGTCTCCAAGCAATATGGGACTATGTGAAAAGACCTAATATACGCTTGATTGGTGTACCTGAATGTGAGGGAGAGAATGAAGTCAAGCTGGAAAATACTCTCCAGGACATTATCCAGGAAAATTTTCCTAATTTAGCAAAGCAGGACACTATTCAACCCCAGGCAATACAGAGAACACCACAAAGATATTCCTCAAGAAGACCAACCCCAAGGCACATAATCATTAGATTCACCAAGATCGAAACGAAGGAGAAAATATTAAGGGCAGCCAGAGAGAAAGATCAAGTCACCCATAAAGGTAAGCCTATTAGGCTTACAGCAGATCTCTCAATGGAAACCCTACAAGCTAGAAGAGAGTGGGGGCCAATATTCAATATACTTAATCAACAGAACTTTCAGCCCAGAATTTCATATCCTGCCAATTTAAGCTTTACATTTGAAGGAAAAATAAAATCTTTTAGGAACAAGCAAGTACTCAGAGATTTTATTACCACCAGGCCTGCTTTACAAGAACTTCTAAAAGAAGCATTATACACAGAAAGGAACAACCAGTATGACCCTTTCTAAAAATACATCAAAAAGTAAAGAGCATTAACATAAAGAAGAATTTTTATCAACGAAAGGACAAAATAGCCAGTTAACAACAAATGGCAACAACCCTAAATTTAAATCGACCAAATCTCCCAATAAAAGATACAGACAAAATCTAACGGTATATCCAAAGATATACATAGACTGAAAATAAAGGGTTGGAAAAAAAAAAACAAAAACGTACCAACCAAATGGAGAGCAAAAATAAATAAATAAGAAGCAGGAGTTGCAATTTTCACATTTGACAAAATAGATTTCAAAGCTACAAGGATACAAGGGTAAAAGGATTAATGTAATAATAAGAGATCTTAACACCCAGATACATAAGACCCATAATGAGATTTAGATTCAATGAGACAACAAATTGATAACGATACCCGGGACTGGAACTAAGATCCAGAACAAATAAACTCAATAGAGCTCTCCATGTTAAACACACAAAATATATATATCCACAAAATCTAACGATATATCTGAAGATATACAAAGACTCAAAACAAGGGGATGGAAAAAAACTCACCAACCAAATGGAGAGCAAAAATAAATAAATAAAAAGCAGGAGTTGCAATTCTCACACTTAATAAAATAGATTTCAAAGCTACAAGGATGCAAGGGTAAAAGGATTAATGTAATAATAAGAGATCTTAACACCCAGATACATAAGACACATAATGAGATTTAGATTCAACGCGACAACAAATTGATAACGATATCCAGGACTTGAACTCAGAGCCAGAACAAATAAACACAATAGAGGTCCCCATTTTAAACACATAAAATATGCATTAACCACTTTAAACACTCAAAATATTGATCGGCCATTATTGAAACCCATTTTAGGAATGAAGTAATATTCATTTTTCCCTCTTTTTCTTTTTTTCCCCTTCTTTTTCTCTTAAAAAAAAAAATAAAAAATAAAAAAAAGAAAAAAAAATACAAAATTAGCTGGGCATGGTGGCGCTCACTTGTGATCCCAGCTACATGGGAAAAAAAAAAAAAAAAAAAAAAAGAGAACCGGCATGGATTCCCTGACCCTCCTCTCATCACCCTCCCCGCCCTGTGAGGGGCGGATACATTTGGGGCGAGGGTGGGGAGGACCCCGAACTAGAGCAGCCAGGACCACTTCCACTGTGCATTCCAGTGGGAGGGCCTTCCTGCCATCACACTGCCTTTGTGTAGAGCTGGCATGGAAAAGCAGCTTTGTCAGTGGAGGTACACCAGGCTGCTTGGCACCATGCAGTCTAGATTTGGGGTGCCAGCCCATTACAGGAGTTGTCTGAGAATACCAGCATTCGAACACCCTAGGGCTGTCGGCATCGCAGTGCCTCTCACTTGTGGAGGGGCTGGGAGAGGGAAAAGCATGCATGGAATACTCAGGATCAATCCCCAGTCCCCTGGTGAACTGAGCATGGCTGTGCCCCCTCTAGCCAAGAGAAGGAAGGGCTATTCCTAGTTGGCCACTCTTCAGGCTACCCAAAATGAAAGTCCAAGGTCACATAAAGACACACCCATTCTACTAGGCATCACAACTAGGGGATCCCCCATGCCCTTACTAGGAAAGCAGTCCGCTTTTAACCTGCCTGCAGCCCTTCTCACACATAGCCTGGTAGGAGTGTTATTTAGGTTCCTGCAAATCTCTCTCTCTCTCTTTTTAGCAGACATGGTAACTGACACCTAAGTGCCTCTTGCACTCTGATTCACAACTTCCAAATTTCAGAGACGCCTGACATGCCAACTGCATCTTGCCTTCCTCAGTGTGGCCCGCCTGGGACTTGAGCGAGAAAATATTGACACTCTTGAGGAAGCCTAATCATCCGCTGGAAATGAATTGGGTAAGTAGCCCTCAGGGGGGTCAGAGGTCAGGCCAGACCAGGCCAGGATAGAGCATGAGAGGGTTGGTGAGCCCAGCTCCACACAGTCAACCATCGTAACAGTCTGTGCCATGAACTTTACAGAGTTGGTGCACCTCAAGGCTCGGTGGAGCCTTCAGTGTGTCCTTAGCCAAAGCTAAGGAAAAATGGAGACATTGGGCACCAGGAATGATTCCAAGATTGCAAAGGAAGAGCTGAGATAAATGGAGCTGAGAGATGCATTGATTCATACTTTGATTCCAACAACTGATGCCCACTCACATGTTACTCACCAGATGCCACACACACACAGCCACATGCACGTTCACACACTCTCATGCATGCATTTGGTGCCTGTCCATTGCCAAATCCCCTACTCCAGGTAAAGGGAGAGTCTGTGGTTTCAGTCTCTTCAGCTATGAAGCGGCTTTCCCTAGAAAAATCCAGTTTTTGCCTGTGTTAGCCCAACACCTGATCTTGGTAATGGGCAGGGGGTGTCCCTTCACTGGATCACTCAGACAGTATGCCAGGGATCTGCTTCTAGTCATAGCACTCCACCGGCCAGATCATTACTTTTTGTTTTTTTTTTCTTTTTTTTTTTTTTGAGATGGAGTCTCACTCTGTCACCCAGGCTGGAGGGCAGAGGTGTGATCTCGGCTCACTGTAACCTCTGCCTCCCGGGTTCAACCTATTCTCCTGCCTCAGCCTCCTGAGTAGCTGGATTACAGGCACCTGTCATGACATCTGGATAATTTTTGTATTTTCAGTAGAGATGGGGTTTCACTATGTTGGCCAGGCTGGTCTCAAACTCCTGACCTTGTGATCTGCCCGCCTCAGCCTCCCAAAGTGCTGGGATTACAGGCGTGAGCCACCACACCAGTTCTGTTCTCGTATTATCTAGGGAGCTGAATCCCTCCTCTCACATCTTACTTTTATATCCCAGGGGTCCAGTGTTCACCTTTATTGTGTCCAGCAACTGCTCAACACACCCTAGGAGAAGCTGGGTTTTGCTAATTCTGGTTCCTGACCTTTGGGGACCTTCAGCCTCCAGCAACCTGCAGTAACTCCTCTCTCTCTCTCACACACACACTCACACGTGTGTGCAGACGAGATAATGATTATCCTTATCTGTTCATGTTGGATATAATTAAATCCACTTTTTTTTTTTTGAGAGGGAGTCTTGCTTTGTTGCCAGGCTGGAGTGCAGTGGTGTGATCTCAGCTCACTGCAACTTCCACCTCCTGGGTTCAAGCAATTCTTCTGCCTCAGCCTCCCGCGTAGCAGGGACTACAGTGGTGCGCCACCACACGCAGCTAATTTTTTGTATTTTTAGTAGAGATGGGGTTTCATCATGTTGGCCAGGATGGTCTCGATCTCTTGACCTCATAATCTGCCCGTCTCGGCCTTCCAAAGTGCTGGGATTACAGGTGTGAGCCACTGCGCCCAGCTAAATCCACATTTTACAAGCATCTTGCATCAGGGGCCTCTACATCTGAAATGCATAAAACTGGAGCAGGAGGGGCACATTTTTGTCACAGGTGAAAAAAACAAAAACAAAAACAAACTGGTGGATATGATGGTTTAATTTTAATAAATAAATGAATGTAAATTTATTTTACTGCATTCCGGTGACTATGTCGTAACTTGTTCAATATACTGAGTGATTTTAGGCTAAGGAAGGATTTTTTCAAATGAAAGTGTTTGGATGGACACCGGGTAACTTTCTAAAATATACTCTTTGGAGGACGTAAATAAAAAGAAATACCTGAAGGTGAAACGGCGGGGTCGGGGTGGGAGAATGTGAGACTGCTGTGTGCAAGGAAGGGCGGGCATTTATACTGAAACTGCAGAACTGAGCAGATGACAGCTGCACACCGCTCCTTTTCCTGGCTGGGCTGCCCCAGCTCAGTGGCATCGCAGACTGTGACGAACCCCAGACGTATCTGGTGGAAACCAAGCCACAATCTGAGAAGCAGCGCACAGTCTGAGGCGCAGAAACGGGTCCTTCTGGTTTCTCCTCCCTGATACCCGCAAAGGCCCTGCGCTCCCGTTATCCTCACAGCCCCTGGAGGTTGTGTCCCGCCTAACTTCTCACCCCTGGTTTCCGAACATCCCGGCAGAGGCATAGAGGGCGTTGGGGGGCGGGGCAGGCCAAAACTTCTTGGGCCGCCCCACCCACCCCTTTCCGGTTAGAGTTGAAACTCCTTAGACGGTTAGGTAGTGCCCCAGCCCACTCGCCTTTCTTCCAGCGATGAACGATCTGTTCGCAGGTCAGCGCCACACACTGTTCAAAGCCCCTCCTCCAAAGGCGGGAAGGGGTGCGCCCGGAGGCTCCGCCCAAGCAAGAGCACGCTTGCGTGATCGCCGCGGCGGCCATGTTGGACTCCGGCAGCCGCCCACCTCCAGCTGCTTGTCGTAGCTCGGGGGCGGAAGCGACCATGCACTCTGGGCCCCCAAACCTGTGCTCGCGAGCCCTACATTCCCCTCCAGCCTCCACATAAAACCCGGGCCAGTATCCTGGTGGCAAGTGCTCGCTCCTTGGGTGAATCCGAGAAAGCACCCGTTTCCTTCTCTGTAGCTTGAGCACCCCCACCCCCGTCTCCATACCCATTATTTGGGCAGATGATGAACTCTCAGCATAAAGCCTGGCACACAGTATGTGTTCTATAAATGTCCGTGAGCTTTTCCTGTACACTGCGGGGTGCCTTGTAGCAACCACCTTCCAGCCGCCACTGCCTGCAGCGCCGCCTTCTCCCTTTTGCAAGATCGCGTCTGTACAAGACTGAAGACCTTGCGGAGGCGCAGGAGGCTTGGCAAGCCCACCTCAGGAGGGTGAAAGTGAAGCTCACGAGTTCTCTTTGACTTTCATGTGACCGTTCTGGAAGGGCATCAGAAACACAGACCAGGGTGCCCAGGACTGGAAAGACTGTAGATTTTGGAACATTTCAACGCCCCCATGCTTGTTATTTTTATCACCCCTGGCTGCGTCCCCATAGGGACTCCCAAGCAGCATAAAACTAGAATGAAAGCCCTGCGTGCGTGCTGACTGTGGAGACAACAGGAAGGGGGAGCTGGGACATTGCGTCCCAGGCAGAGCTAAGTGTGGGGGAGAAAGGCCTTTTGGACCAGCGTGGGTGATAGCCCCAGGGTGGGAGAGGAATTCAGGCCAGGCCTGAGGTGGCCTGTGGGGGTCCTCAGATAAGTGCAGCTGCTCCACCAGCTCTGTAGCTATGATCCAGCAGTTCAAACGTCCTAAAGGGTGGGAAATTGCATGAAACCCACAGAGATGAGGGAAGTGCATGAGGAGGGGTGAAGGCCTTCCAGCGGCTGGGGGCTGCAGGACCATAGTCAGACCTCCATGGGATTCTGGAAGCCTAGTGTGAGGATTTAGTCAGTAATATCAGGCACCCCCAGTCTAGCCTGATGGAAAGAGGGGGAGCAGAGAATACAAAAACTACTAAGTCGGGGTGAGGGGATTGCACAGTTTATTTCCAAACGCTCAGAGGATAGGGAGTGGCTTCGGGCTCCAGCTGCCTCTCCCTGCATTTGGCTGAATCAAGAACTTCTCTCCCCTCCCCCAACACCCTAGGCAATGCCCAATAGAGAAGGGACTCTCACCCCCCCCCCCGAAGAGAGACCTAGACAGGTGAGGAGCATGGAGGGTGGGGGGACAGAGTTCAAGTATTCACATTTCCCCCATCAACACCCCGGAGTACACCGTGCCAGAGCCATGAGGTGGGGATCCCACTGCTGGGATTCCTAGTGGTGTTGATAGTCCTTCTCCCACTTAGAACCCTCCAGATGAACTCCCTACACCTTTTCCCTGAAATAACAAACCAAGTCCTAAGCCCTGTAGTCTGGGCAAGGAGGGGCCTTAGAATGCCACTCACCCAAGGTCCCCAGGGTGAGGGCCTTCACCTGTAGTGAATGGGTTGGGAGCAAGTGTCTAAAAGGAGAGAGGAAGGGAGAGAACTGAGAGGACCTAGGGAGGCAGGCTTGGAGGTTTCTGACACGTAAGTTCAGACAGCTCTCGTCTGCGAATCCACCCCACCCCATTCCCCAAGCCCAGAATCCCTGAGAGTCCAACTGCAAAGGCAGTATGGCTGGAGGGAGGAATGGGAGCAGGCAGAGCGCTGGGCAGGACCTCCGCCCCTGTCTCCCAGTCAGTCCTGCTCCTGGAACACATGATGCTTTGGGAGGGCCAGGACCAGGATCAAGTCCCAGCTCTTAGGCGCTCCAGCATAGCTGAATCCTGGGGAACAGAGGGTAGACCCACCAACCCCCAAACCCCAGCCGTCCTGGCCTCGGGTAGAATGGTGGGAATGGGCTCTCTAAAGGGTATTATAAAAAGCTAGAACCGTTAAACGCTTCCTGGGGAGAAGTGGCTCCCAGTCTCTTGCCTCCCCAAGTTATCAGTCTCCCTAGTGCCTAGCAGACAGGGCTAAGGAGGTCTCAGAGAGCCGAGGGAGGAGGCCACAGCCCCTGGGCCCAGAGAGAGGGCCCACTAGCACCATGCAATGTTGAGGCACCTTTGCAGCCTGACTGGCCCCCACGCAGGGGCCCTCCAAAGCTGGAGTGCACCCTTGCTAAAGCTTCTGTACTCTTGAGGGGGGACCCCTGAAGGGAGTGGAGGAGGCAAAGACTTGGCTTAAGTCCAGGCTGGGGTCTCAGCAGGGACCCCAAAGGGCACCCTTGGGAGTCATGATTTGAAGAATCTTCGTACCACAAACTGGCCCAACAGAACCACACCCAGAACGACCAGCACATTCAGGATGGGTCCATTGCCCAGGTCCAGGGCTGCCACCTGCCGGGAGAAACACGGTGGTCACAGAGAGTCAGGCAGAAGATACAGGCACCTGGGGAGGGGCGGGGCCTGGGAGAGGAGCAGCCCCAACAGCAGGGAGGACGTTGCAATCCTCAGATACTCACCCAGCCACCCCTCTGTGCGATCCACCGGGCGATGCAGTGATGCAGCATGAAGTCCACCACGAAGCGGGTCACCTGGCCCAGGAAGCCAGTCAGGCCGCGCTGGTAGACGTGTAGGGCCAGACGGTAGCCAAAGCCCAGGAGAGCCACCACACGGCCCCAGTTGATGCCACTCTCAAACAGGCTGCGGGCAGAGCATTGCATACCATTGGTGGAGAGGCCCCAGGAGGCCCGTCAGCCTGCCTGCCCTCTCCCTTCCCTCTCCCAGCTGGAAAGCTAAATTTGCTGTGAATTAAGGCTGCAGAGGCTGCCCCAGCCTGGCCTGTATTTGGGAATAACCTGGGTCTCTGTGAAAGGAGAAAGCTGAGGGGTATGAGCTGGATGCCACTGCTGGGATGTACACTCAGGTGCAAAGGGGCACAGACAGGGTAGAGGGCAGAGCGAGTGGAGGGGTCAGCGGGGAGATTACCTGTGGGTGTTGTGCTGGCCTGGCAGCCCAAGGGACAGCAGAGAGAAAAGGACAGAAAAGATTAGAGTAGTTCCTGTCATCACAGTGGCATGGGGGCTGTCCTCTAAGTTCATGGGCTGGCTATTTCAGCTCTGAGCGCTAATTCTAAACTCTATCACCTACACGTCCCTTCACCTCCAGCTTCAAATCCACCCCAACCCTGACCTCCCTAACTCTAGTGGTAGCAATGGCTAACACTTCATAAGGTGGACATGTTCTAAGCATACTTTTCCTGTTTTACAAACCAGGAGACTGAAGGCCAAAAAGTTTCACGAAGGCAGTAAGTGGCTAAGTTTGGATTTGCACCCAAATACTTGGTGCCTTTAACCACTTGGATGCCAGATAATAGCAACTAGAAGTCATTTCTAGGACCTGGCAGAGGTTAGCACCCTCACCATCTTCAGTGTGACATGTAGTTTCAAATTGGAACCATGAAGGACAGCAGTGTCCCAGCTGGGCTGGGGAGCCGTGGGGGATGCCCCACCTCAGGCCCCCTCTAGAGTCCTAATCTAACCAGTCAAGTCCTTGGAGTCAGTGCTGAAAAGAGCTGTGAGCTAATGCACAAAATACGAATGAGTCTGGGACCCTAAGAGAGAAAAATAGGAGGCCGAGACCACATGTGAGTTCACAGCAGACACTGGACACCGACAGAAGGTGTCTCCCAGGCCAGGAGTGCATCATATAGGCAGGCCATGGTGAGGTTGTCACGGGACAGGAGAGTGACCAGAGTCCGGCGGGGAGGTGGTCGGGGTACCTGGAGGCGATCTTGGTGAAGTACTCGTAGGCGTTCTCTGCCGTGGGCTGCAGGTGCTGCAGCATGGTCTGGAACTCCGAGTCATAGCGCCGGTTGATGTCATCCCCAATGATAGCGAGCTGCCGTCCCACCTGCCCCATGGTGCTGTGTGAGCGGGAGGCAGGCAGGTGAGCAGGTGGCCAGGCAGTGGGGGCCAGGGCCTGCATCATGGCAGAGGGTTTCTGCCCAAGCTGTCCATGGCCCTGTGCACCCCTCCTTGGAGATCCCCGACAATGTTCTAAAACATGAATGCTGGGCTCTGGGACAAGGGGCAGGCATGGGCTAAATAAAAAGGATACAAGGTCCTGGATGGGGGTAGGAGCCCAACATGAAAGAGGAGCAGCCATGAGAGAAGGGCAAGACCCCCCAGGCCTCCCCAGCTCCCAGGAGTGGCACAGACCCATGCAAACCACTGCCTCCCCGAAGATGTCCTGTGAGCCCAGCGGTTGTAGCTCACCTGCTAGGTTGGAGAGACAAGCTAACCATCTCTGGGTCAGCAGGGGCAGCCGCCCCTTCAGCCTCCTGTTCCTGCCGATGGCGGTAAAAAACGTAGCTGTGGAAAACCTCCTCTGTGTCCCGGGCTACCTGCTCCTCTGAGGATCAAAGCTGGGAGTCAGGGAGAGAGGGCCAAACCCCGATAGCCCCATGCCTTGTAGAAGGTTCACTGTTCCTAAGGCCACAGTGTCCTCGCCCACGGAAAGAAATATCCTGGCTAGATGCTGTGGTGCTGTGGCTCATGCCTGTAATCCCAGCACTTTGGGAGGCCATGGTGGGTGGATCACAAGGACAGGAGTTGGAGACCAGCCTGGTCAACATAGTGAAACCCTGTCTCTACTAAAAATACAAAAAAATTAGCCAGGCATGGTGGTGGGCGCCTGTGATCCCAGCTACTCGGGAGGTGAGGTGGAAGAATTTCTTAAACCCGGGAGGTGGAGGTTGCAGTGAGCTGAGATGGTACCCTGCACTCTAGCCCAGGCTACAGTGTGAGACTCTATCACAAACAAAAAAACACAAAATTAGCAGGGCGTGGTGGCACATGACTGTAATCCCAGCTACTCAGGAGGCTAACGCAGGAGAATCACTTGAACCTGGGAGGTGGAGGTTGCACTTGAAAAAACAAAAGAAAGAAAGAAAAAAGAAAGAAATATGCTACACAGAGAGTTGTTCTGGCACTTGCATTGAGCCCTCACAGTAGCCCTGAGAGCAGGCAATCCTGTTTGCAGGGGAGAATGGCAGGGGCCATCTAAGTAATGTGTGCAAGCCAAGGAGCCGGGACACAGTCTCAGGCATTTGGGCTCCTGAGTCTGTGTTAGTACATCTCAGCTCCACAGCCCTTTGTGTGCACGGAATGTGGGAAACAAAATCTGAAATTGTAGCCTTGGCCCAGAACAGTTACACAGGGAGATAGTGACAGACCTGGGACGTGAATCCCAAGTCCAGGGAACAGCCCACCTCAGGCTGTGAGCTGGGGCTTCCCTGGCCATCCCCTGGGAAGAACGAAGGGGGGCGGCCATCTTCCTCCCCCAGTCACAACAATTGCCTTCCCTGTTGAGCAGACCTGACTGGGTGACCGGCCAGTTTACATCCTTATTTCTCCCGCTGGAGGGATACAGCAGCCAGGCTCCACTCTACTTCCTGCCTCCCTCGTCCGACCCCGCCCTCTGCCCGGTGGCACCGTGCCCACCTTCATGCTCACTTCCTGGCCTCTCCCAGCCTCCAGGGCCTCCCCAGCCCAGACTCCTCCCTGGCTCGGGCTTAACCTTGACAGCAGCTCCAGCCTCTGATCCCGAGGGTGGGAAATACTCTTCCCCACCCACAGTGGGTGAACCAAGGCCAGGAGCCTGCCCCTGAGTCCTGCTCCTTCCATCCTCACCACAGCCCTCATGGTTATGGGAGGGGTGAGAGGGCAGGAGGACCCTTACCAGAAGCAGAGGGTGGGTCAGGCTCTCCGCACTCCTGCCTGGGAGGACCTGGGCCTTGCCCCGATGCCATTTTTCAGGTCTCAGTGGAAGACGGTGTCAGCCTGCAGGGATGGGCAAGAAAAAGCAGAGATGGGGGTGAACACAAACCTGTGACTGGGGACCGCAGGCGGGTTGCCATGTCCATATAGGAGAGAGGGT